GGCCACGCTTTGCCTTGCCTTTCTTTGCCTGCCTTGTCTTGCCTTGCCTTGCATTGCCTTGACTTGTCTTGCCTTGCATTGCCTTGCCTAGCCACGCCTTGCCTTGCCTAGCCAAGCTTTGCCTTGCCTTTCTTTGCCTAGCCACGCCTTGCCTTGCCTAGCAAATCTTCGTCTGTTTTTCTACGTGTGTCGTTAATATGGTCTCGTTTATCAATGTAAGTCTTTTTTCGCTTTTCTTTATTTCTTAAATATGTCTGATGTTGTAGTTCTTTACGTCGCTGTTCAGAAGTTGTTGGAGTTTGTACTTCAAATACTTGATAACGTCTTCTTTCACTTTTCTGATGTTTTAGGCCAACTGTCAGCCATTATTCAAGAATGCGAAGTGCTCCTTCTGGAGCAGTGATAATGCGACTGGCTTGATATTTTTTGATTTCTTTGTTGTGAAGCGTTATATTTGTTTACTCGACATTGTTGTGTTCCACAACAATGCCGAGTAAACAAATATCTGTTGGCATTGTTGATGACGTCATTTTTTGACGACAAATTGGTTGAAGACAACGACTAATCACAAATTTTTATAGTAAGATAGTATACCAGTAGATGTCACAGAAGATTCAGTGACAGGATATGCTGATTTTATTGAATGTATAAACGAACAGAGGATTTTGACTGCTGTGCTTCCTGGATCTGATTGAATGTGGTTTTTTTCTGTGGGTAAACTTTGGGGGGGGGGGGGGGGGGTGGTGGGGGGGGGGGGGGGGGTAGAGAGAGGAAAGTCTACAGAAATAATTCATGCATTAACTGCCATAGTGGTCTAGCTGTTAGAACGCTGGGCTTGTAATACTGGGGTCCCGGGTTCGATTCCCGGCGGTGCTTCAGATTTACAACTTGTGTTGGGCAAGGCCGTGGTCCAGGCATCAGAGTTTTCCTCCAGGGTTTCTCCGTGGCATCACAACAATTACTCTACTTTCATCATCATTTCGCAAAAAGGGGGTCACAGCAGGAGCGTTAAATGTTGCGGTCCCGATCGAACCCATGTACTGATGGGTCGTGAATCCTGCTAACCACCAATGCACACCATGCTGAATGGTGTGTACTGGATATGAAAAAAAAATCATGCATTATGGAAGATTTACACTTACAAACAGAATGATATTCAAGACATGGAATGTTATCTTCCCAACATGTCACACAATTTGTTGCACTGATCTGAAATAATATTCTTGAATACTGGAGGACACTGTTTCTAATAATCATTGTCATCTCAGGTAAGTAATCTGTGTGCTAGCCAATAGCTTGTTCTGTGAACAGATGGTGATAAGGCTACTGATGAATTAATTAACTTCTATCTAGTGGGATAGTTATGAATCATAAAAGTGTGTGTGTGTGTTCATGCATGCATGCCTGTAGGTATTTTCTCCTTATGGACAAATGAGTGTGTGCAGTAACTTTACTAAAATGGCAGTGTGTTGGAGAATTGCCCCTGTGGACAAAACACAAGTTGGAATGAATTTTTAGACCATGTAATGAACTCAGTATTTCAGGTAACACACTGAGCCCACCAAAAGTTGCTTATTAGATATAAAATATTTTGCAATCATTGTCTTTTATTGTATTTAGGTTGTGGCATGCACAAGAAAGGACACGATGTTAGAAACTTCTTGTCACATTAAAACTTACAAACGAACAAAACGCCAAGGTCTCCGTGAAGCTCGGGCTACTGAGAAGTTAGAGAAGCAGCAGAAACTGGAGGCAGAAAGGAAGCGCCGGCAGAAACATCAAGTAAGCTGAATCCTCCTCAACACCTTATTCTCAAACACATGCAATCTATGTTCCTCCCTCAGAGTGAGAGACCATGTTTCGCACCCATACAAAACAACCCATTCCAACCATACCTAGTGATTTTATAGTTTCTCTTTGGCAAGCATGAATTTCATATTATCCATTTAATTCTGGTTTGTGTATTTGTTTTTTATGTGTGTGTGTGTGTGTGTG